TTCATCCCCGAGCCCCGATTCATCCCGGGAGCTATGGGGAGCATTGCATAATCCGAAGCCCAAGGAAGCCGGGAGGGCTTCTACGAGTATTTACGATGGTTGGCTTCAGGTTGTCCGGTTCGAAATTTAACGTAGGGGCCTAAATAATTGCAACCATTTTTTGGGGGTTCCTTATTCCAATTAAAGTATAGTATAATGGGTCCCAAAACCCTATTCTAATTATTAAGGCCCTTGTATTAAGGCCCCTATATTGACGGCTTCAAAAAATCCGGGAACCGAGTCTGGTTGCTTAAAGCACTTCGTCTTTGGGAGCTTGGCTTGATGGTGCTTGTGATGAACCCAGAGACTCCAATATCCCTTAATTAAGGAATATGTCTTAAATCATATTAAGGATCCTACTATAATTTGAATATTCCTTAATTAAGGAATATATCTTAAATCATATTAAGGATCCTACTATAGTTTGAATATTCCTTAATTAAGGAATATATCTTAAATCAGATTAAGGATCCTACTATAATTTGAATATTCCTTAACTAAGGAATATATCTTAAATCATATTAAGGATCCTACTATAATTTGAATATTCCTTAATTAAGGAATATTGGAGTCTCTGGGAAGTGCACTTCTACGGCACCTGGTCACCGGCGTTTCGCAAATTGGAGTTGCCGAAATTAAGGGGTGTATCTTATTTTGGGGTCCTTATAATACGCACATGGGAGTTTCCGAAATTAAGGGGTGTGTCTTATTTTGGGGTCCTTATAATAAGGATCCTACTATTTGAGGTACTATATAATTAGGGTTCCCTATTTTCCGGAACCCCTAAACCATTCAGAAGGTTGCTGTTGTAGTCTCGTTTGAAGGCTTTGGGCATCCTCCCGAAATAATTCTGTTGCTTGCCAAGACTTGACTGCATGCCCAGACCTGCGAGCCCCAAACCCCAAACGGTTTAAGGTTTTGGGTTTAGGGTTCAGGGTTTAGGGTTTTTGGTGTCGGGTTTTGGGTTCAGGGTTTCGGGTTTGGGGTGTCGGGTTTTGGGTTCAGGGTTTCGGGTTTAGGGTTAAGGGGTTTAGGGCCTTACTCACGAACCCGGAACCCCAAACCTACGAACCCTTAATGCTGTCGCGCAGGTGCGCCAGGTGACTGCCGAAGCCAAGGAGGTGCACCGCCTTGGAGAAAGCGGCTGAATTAGGTCTAGGGTTTTAGGATTTAGGGCCTGAGGTTTCGAGGCTGAACTCAGTTGGAGCATAATTAATTTGTTTATGTGCTCTTAGAGCGTTTGTTAAGGGCTTTTTCGAGGCTTATCACTCAGGCCCCTGTGTTGTTTGCAATTCCGCCCAGGGCTAGAAATCAACTGTAGGCCCATGACTGGTGCGACAAGGCTTTCAACAGTTTCACAGGTGTGCCGTGAGAATCCAAGAATAAGGTCCGGCAAACAGGCAGTTTAGTTTAGGCACTACCTGTGGAAGAACGGCCCCGACATCCGACACAAAAACGGGCAAGCGAAAAGTCCAAACTCCGAGCGAGCTGCCAGGACTAGCCGGGCAGCAGCACTAGTAGCAGTCATCAGTCATCATCACCAGAGATCACCAGCATCATGCTGTCAGCCACATCCTAGGGCTCCGTGATCCGGACCCTAACCCCTAAACCCTGAACCCTAACCCTAAACCCTAAACGGTTTAGGGTTCAACCCTAAACCGTAAACCCTAAGCCCTAAACTTCATCTGAGGAGGCCAGGGCTGAGCTCCGAGGTGAGGAACAGCTATGCCGGGGCCTTATTCCCGGCCCCTTTCTGCCGGATCCTAGGAAGTTTTAAGGGCAAAACGGACCCTAAAAACCTAAGCCCTACCTAGACCCCCCAACTACGCTCTATTATCCCTTAAATACCCACTATTAAGGACCATAAGGGCTCTATTAAAGGGCCATTGGGGGGTCCTGGTAAACCCCAAATTCCTGAACCTCACTCGAAGCTCGATATCAGGCGGCTGCAAAGAGGAGTTCGAAAAAGAAAACGAAACGCTAAGGATTCGGCTTTGGGAAGCCCCCAAGAAGCATCAGCTTCCTAGGAAAGTCTAGGGTTAGAAGTATGGGCCCCTAATATGGACCGTTAGGCCTTTCTAGGGACCCTTAAGGGTACATATAGGGGAAAGAGTAGGTATGTAAGGATCCCAGGGTTAGGGGCCCATACTAGGGGCCCATGGTTTCAACCTTAGAGAAAGATAGTGTGCCAAAGGAGCAGCAGGTAGGCTTCAGCGTAAATCCGAGGCCCAAAAACTCATACTTTGCTGCAACTCCGGACTGTCTCAACTTCAGTTAGCCAAGGCCAACACGGCGTGGCACTAAGACAGGTTGCCATGTTTGGAGCCGCATCCTGTCTCACGTAGTTTCGCTCTTAGAACTTACCCTGAACCCTAAACCCCTAAACCCTAAACCCTAAGCATCTAGACCCGAGATTCAAAAAATTGCGTTTCTGGATGCTCCCCAAGCCTGAATTTGAGCAATCAGCAACCCGGAGAGCCTGAAGCCCAACTCCCACACGCCCCAGCCCTTAGATCAAAATCCGGAAACCTTCATCCCATCCATCCCATCCAGAAAACAGCCAAATTTGGGAGTTCAATCCGGACCCCAAGGGCGTCTTGACTTAGCCCAACATGCCCAAAAACTCCCAAAAATCGTGATCCCCAGCCCGTCAGCCCTAAACCCCCAGAAACCCTGAAAGCCCTAAACCCTGAACCCTAAACCCCCTAAACCCCCCAAAACCCTAAACCCGAAACCCAACCCTAAGAACCCTAAACCCTAAACCGGGACCCCGAAACCCTAAAAATGCTAAGAACCCGGTTTTTGTCCAGGTATGCAGCTGGCGGCCCGGACCCTGGTTCGATGGAAAGCCAAGAGAAGCCTTGAAATGGGCCCCTGAGGAGTTGGGGCTTAGGGCTTAGGGCTCAGAGTTTAGGGGTTTAGCGGTTAGGGTTTAGGGCTTCTAGGGTTTAGGGGTTTAGAGGTTTAGGGGCTTAGGGCTTTGGGTTTAGGGGTTTAGGGGTTCGGGTTCAGGGTTTTTAGGGTTTAGGGGTTTAAGGGTTTGGGGGTTTGGGGTTTAAGGCTTTTTTAGGGTTTTGGGGGTATGGTAAGGATCCTGACAATAGGGGAAGCCCCCAAAATGGGCCTTCGTCGAAGGACCCGTCACTTAAAATGAGCTTAGATAGCCAATGGGAGAACTTTAAACTTTTTGGCTGTATATATTTGGTCTATCCTAAAAAGTTTGAACTTTTTTGGGCCTGTTTGTTGAAGAGAGTCTGTAGGAGGAAGAAAAGCCGCAACATCAGGCGGGGGATGTACGTGCCACCCGGTTCTCCAAGCGCAAGTGGGTTTTCCTACCTACGGCTTGACTTGGGGTTTACAGGGTTTGGGGGTGCCGCAGACTCCCTAAACCATAAACCCTAAACCCTAACCGCAGACTCCCTAAACCCTAAACCCTAAACCCTAACCGCAGACTCCCTAAACCCTAAACCCCTTCATAATCGTCGTTCAGTGGTCTACTCGCTCCGGGCCAGAAAAAGCAACGGCTTGAGGTCCGGTCCATGTGCTGTTTAGATTGGTTTAGGGTTTAGGGTTTAGGGTTGAGGGTTCCATGGCCATTGCTACAAGTTGGCTTGAGTCATCCGGGCTCTTCGGTGTCTCGACCCCAGCATCTCAACCGTAAACCCCGAAGCACATCCCTAAACCCTAAACCCTAAACCCTTCTCAAAACGGTTCGGCGTCAAGTGACCAGTCTTTGGGGCGCGGCTTGGGTTTGGGGTTGCGGGTTTATGGCTTCCATGCCCTGAATCAAGGCTCTGTAAATCCTTTAGAACCCGAATTCACCTTAAACCCCAACTTAATCCCAAAGACCTAATTGAACTCTAAACCCTCCTAACCTTAAACCTTCAAAACCCTCTCTAGCCCGAAACCCTCAACCCCAGGCATATGCTCACATTATTGGAAAACTTACAGTTCCTGCCGAAACTTCCAGAAGTACCACATGCATCTCCGAGAAAGCCTCTAAGCCCTAATCTAGGGGCCTTTATAATTACCTATATTATTCTTAGGGTTTCTTATCATAAGTATACTCTGAAGAGGCCCCAAAACCCTCTTCGAATTATTAAGGCCCCTACATTAACCCTAAACCCGAAACCCTAAAGCCCTAAAGCCCTAAAGCCCCAGACCCTAAGCCCTAGACCCTACACCCCCGAACCCGAAAACCCCTACTTTTGCCGAGGCAGAGCTCCGGCGACGAATCGCCCAGGTGATGCTTCGGTTGGGGTGCTAGGAGATTCGGGGGGATTCGAGGGTGGTTCAGGGGTTCAGGGTTTGGGGTATAGGGTTTAGGGTTTAGGGTTTGGGGGGTTGGGGTTTAGGGTTTGGGGTATAGGGTATAGGGTTTAGGGTTTAGGGGGGGGCGTTTGGAGTTAGAGGTTTAACCAAGCGAGGCAAAGTGTGGGCTTGGGGCCAGGAGTCCCAGGTTTCGGGTTCCGTGTTCACGCCGCAGCGGCTTACCTTCCTCGGGGCCTTAACAATTGGAACAGGGTTTTGGGGGTTAATTAGAATAAGGACCCCCCCGCAAAATACTATTGCTAATTATTTAGGCTCCTATATTACACATTCCCACACCCTAGGCCAGAGCGAACTCCAAGAAGGCACCTTTTTGCAACGCTGAGGCTTTATCAACCCCAATCCGTTTCAACCCCCAAAGCCCGAAAGCTCAGTTTGGCTTAAGTTCCTCTTGGACAGCGGGAAACAGCCACAAAGCCATGCAGCCTGTGTCGATCCCGTTCGACGACAGTTGGCCAGACACCCTCCGCGACGCATGCAGCATGGCCGGAACTGTCGTCCGAGACACTCAAGGAGGTATCCTGGTAAAGGGTTTAGGCTTTAGGGTTTATAGGGTTTAGGGTTTATCCCTAAACCCCTAAACCCTAAACGACTTGGCAGGGGCCGTGGATCTCTCCAGCGTTGCCGCGAGGATGGTGGCAAGGTTGGCAGGCATTCCCATTCAGGCCTTCATCTCCACGGACGTGAAACTTTGTCATAGTTGGGTAACATTTTACATTTTTAAGGGTACTTAAACCCAATAAGGAATATAAATTTGAATTTTTAATACTACCGAAACCATGAACAAGGAAAGGGAGCACGGTTGATTTCGGGCTACTCAGTGGAGATGAGCTTTTCAGCCTCAGACAACCTCTGGCTTTGGGTGCCATGCTGAAAGACCTAGAAGTCGCCGTGGCGAGTGTGCTGGGCCTGCGATTGAACATAGTCAGTGCCTTTTCCAAGCATGACCCTTCCAATCGGCTCGACAACTCTTGCGATCTGAAGGAGTACAGCGGCGAATCTCTTGTGCTTACATTCTACGATGACTTCGGAGATTGCCGCAGGTTTCTGAAAGCCATGACAGCCGAAGCATTCAATCCAAGATCGCAAGGCTTCCATGCTGCATGGAGTTTGAAGGCTTTTGAGCGCACGCCCGAGGTCAGTGCTGGTGAGGTGCTAGATCTTCTGCAGTCAGATAAATACGGGCCACAGGTGCCCGAAGGCATGGTTAGGGAGTTCATGCAGATCTTTGGACGTCTCACATCGATGGCAGAGAACAACTTCCACCTTGAATGTCTCCAGAGCTTCGATCCTGCGATGAAGACCCTGAAACATGAGCTGTGCCAGCACTGGCTGCAGCTAGCAAAGGCCTCCGTCACGCAAAAGGTGCCTGGAAGGCCTCCTCCTGTCATGCTCCTGTGCTGGAATGCGCATCAGCAGACAGCCGCTAACGGGATGGATTTGTTCACTGTCGACGGCAGCTTTCCCGCCATGTTCTCTCAAGGCTTGCAAAACTCGTGCAGATTGCATCATAACATTGACGGCATGAGCCAACGTTCCATGCTTATGTTTGCATCCTTGAACGCTGACTGGTTCACCGGCCTCACATGGAAAGAGTTGTGTGCGCCGCACCCCATCAACAAATCTAGACTTGGACAGTGGGTGGAGAAATATAGAGAAGCCGATAAGAAACACGTAGAGTTGAAGCAAGGTGAGCCAGTGGAACGACATGATGTCGTAAGGATGGTGCATGTGCAGCTGCGGTTGTCTTGCGGGTTCCGTGTCGTGGAAGTTGAGGGGGAACTGCACATTCCTTTGCTCCGGTGTTCGGCGGCGCTGCTGCAGTGGCACTTGCAGGAAGTCACTCAAGGGATCGGAGGCCTTGAACTTGAGCATGTGTTAAAAGGTCTTCTTGCAGATGCAAACAAGGAGGTGCAGCCCGGCATGAGAGGGGTGCTGATGCTGGTATGTCTTTCCTCGAGCCACGCGCCGGATGATCTCAAGCTTTGCTGGCGCTTGAGCCAGAATTCCGTCCGCTTCATCCTCTGTTATCCGGAGGGAGCGAAGCGGCGGCGACTCTCGGCTAGCTCGACGCTGCAGCGAAAAAATGAGAGGGCATTCGACCTTTCAGATGTGCAGTAATGTAGGGACCTCCCTTAGGACCCCAATAGGTAAACTTCAAACTTGTTTGGTATATTATGCCCCTACTAAAAGAACAGCTTTAACTTTTTTGGGCCAGGATACTGGGCTTAAAGGCTCCCACGGAGTCGCATTGCACTGCGTGCTTCTGAAATGCGTTTCGGGCTCAGTACTCAGCTGCCACGACTATAGCAGGGCAGGGCCTCTGAGAGCCATGCACACCTTGATTCGTGGAGAGGCCGGGCAGTCGCACAATAAGTACCCTAGCCCTAGATAATCTCTAGCCCCACTAAACTCCAAGTCCCTAAACGCAAAAAAAGCAAAACAATGCTAGACCAAAAGCTGTAGCCCCTCGATCCCCCTAAACCCTAAACCCAAAACCCTAAACCCTGAAAGGCTCGACAGTGGCTGCGGCAAGCCCGCAGCTTCGCTGCGGCCGCCCCGGCCGCCGAAGTGAAGTCAGCAGCCACCTTGGGAAAGGTCTCCCAGGTGCATGGGTTTAGGGGTTATAGGGTTTAGGGCTTAGGCTTTAGGGTTTAGGGGTTTAGGGTTCAGGGTTTAGGGGTTTAGGGTTGGTTTACGGATTTAGAGTTGTGGTGTTTACGGACCGCATAGTAGCAGCATGATCCTTAATACAGCGGTTTTGAAGTGTTCCGGTTCAGGGTTGAGGATAGAGAGAGGGGCTCGGGGCACAAACAGGGGATGATTACTCATTTCTCTTACTTACTTCTTAGCCAATGGGAGAACTTTAAACTTTTTCGGCTTTATATATTAGGTCTATCCTAAAAAGTTTGAACTTGTTTGGGCCTGGTTGTTGAAGAAGAGAGCTTAATATTCTGTTGCAACACCCAGAGGTAGTTGCAGACAGTTCGTGGGGCAGTTCACCCTAAACCCAACCCTAAACCCTAAACCCTAAACCCTAAACCCTAAACCCTAAACCGCTGAAGCTGAAAAGCCTGGACCCCAAATCCTCATTGAACCAGGGGCCCTCTAAAACCCACAGTTTAGGGCTTTAGGGCGTTAGGGCTTTTAGGGTTTAGGGTCCCAAACACTTTAAAAAGGCCCAAGCCGAAGCCCTCAAGGTGATTGGGGCCGTGGTGGATGTCCAGTTTGACACGGCCCTGCCTCCCATCCTCAATGCGCTGGAAGTGCAAGGTTTTGAGCACCGCCTCGTGCTGGAGGTGGGAGTTTCCCGAGAAGTCAGCCCTACACCCTATAGGGGTTTAGGGTTTGGGTAGGGTTACCCTAAACCCTAAACCC